TCCCTCAATGAGTCTGGGAATCTGCCGCCTGGCTGGGTCGTTGCCTCTCTTCGATTTCGGGTGTGCATTAGTGTTGGTGTTGGTGTTGGTGTTGGTGTTAGTGTGTGTGCATGTGCGGAAGTTCACACACGCCTGAACACTCACACAGCCACTATGCGTCCTGTCAAACGCACTCCTCCGGCCGCTTCTCGAGTAGTTTTCCCTTTTCGAAGCTGCTTGAAAATTTTCAAATTTCCGGCTTTCTCGCGCTCGCTTTCCCCACACTCTTGAGGAAATTGTCTACGCATGTTTCTGGCACTTTTCATGCGGATGCCGCAACTACTCGTATTCCTACGCTCTGCGGGGATTTTCGCTTATCCATTATTAATACATGATTTCCAAAAGCGTGGAACACAAATTTGCAATTTGCTGAAGATTTGCTTGAGGCTGGTGGGTGGAGGGGGAGGGGGGCCTGAAAGAGGGCGTGAATTAGCTGCAATTGCCAGGCGGACACGATAAGCATTTCCCATTGCCATTTTCCCATTTCCCCCCCTACCTCGAGTGGCTGCCATATGGATTTCCGTAGTCCGTTCGCCGCTTTCCCAGCTCTGACTCCGGCCGTGCCTTATCTCGCGGCTATATGCAGGGTCCATGGCCTGTCCTGATGTGATAATCCGCAGGAATTAATAAATAAACCATTAACAAATAAACTAGAGACGTGGCAGCGGCACGGGGCACGGGGCACGAGACATGAATGTGCGTGCCGCCTGGAACCCTTATCAACGATGGGCGGCAGGTCCACCACGTCCCACCCCTCGTCAGACAGACTTGACTTTTCTGCAAACATCAGCAAATAAAAGCCAAGGACTCACACCACCCGTACGGAACTCTGATGCAACATTTCCCTCTGCACCGCACAGTGGTGCAAGATCTGTTATCTGTAGGAAATTTACATGCGTCTGGGCATCAGGGTGCCCACTGTACTGCCCCATGGCTGAGGCAGAGGTCAATGTTTGTTCATAAATTGCCAAATTGGTGGGAGAGAGGGCGGCAAGGTCTGAGAGGGGGCGAGTCCACCTCGAAAAAGAAGTGAGGACAAAATGCAAATGGCTTTTGTGCGTGTGCGTGTTTGTGTGTATCAATGTGTGCGTTTCCTCCTGAAACAGAAATTCCAGTCAATTAAATAGAAATAAATGAATAATTGATAGTTTTCAAAGGCTACCAGAAGTCTTCGCTTCGCTCTGAAAGTTTTACCTTGAACCCAAAAGCCCCTACTAATTAGAGAGGGAAAAAGAGCTACAAAGAGAACGAGAGAGACGGGAGAAGAAGGGTTATGGAAAGAGCATCCCCCCAAAACCCTGTGTCGGAATGTCATTTGAATAATTTAAAATGTTAGACGCGTTCGATGGCCAGACTTTGACACTGACCATGGAGCCCCGTTGCTGAGCCATCCCCAAAAAGGGGCAGACCGTAATGGGTGGCCAGGGGGCCGTTGGGCGGCTTTGGATAGCCACAATGACGTTAATGACAGTGACGAGCGGTTGTTTGCCTCAGTTCTCGACCAAACATTCGGCACAAACAAACAAATCCACTGCACGCACGTACTCCAGGCGACACACTCGCACACAGATACGTGGATACCACACAGACACTCATAAAAAACAATCAAAATGCAAAACGAAGCCAGGCAGAGCAAAGAGAGCACACCACAGGGAGTGTCTGTAGATGTGCGTGCCACCACCGGGAGGATCAACAGCAAACACAAATGGTTCCTGATTGCAGCCAGGAAGCGGCTGACAGAGGGGTCACAGAGGCGGTGCAAGGGAATGGAGGCAAGAGTCTGTCCGTCTGTCTGTCGATCTGTCTGGCTATGCGACTAGAATTCAACATTTTGCCGCCATTAAAATCAAATTGCACTTTCGTGCAGCAGAGGCCAGGGATACCCAAACCAAAGCAAAGCTAGGACAGGAGGCAGGCAGCAGGATGAGGCAGGAGACAGCCTGAAAGAAGGTTGTTTCAGGCAGGAGGCACGAGGCACAGAACCACGAGCCGCGTCAACGTTTTGGCAATTTCAGCAGAAATATGGCTCCCGTTTTTCCGCCTGCTCCTGTTCTTCCATTTCCCATTTGCCACTCCGCTGTTCCTCTTTTTTTATGATTAATAAAAGCCAGCGTCGCACGGCGACCTTCAAATGGATGCAACGTCGGGCTGGGATGGGGAGGGGCTCTGCATCTCTGTCGCATTGCCGCACAGCCGCCGCTCCCCCCTTTAGGACTTTCGCTTAATTTCTATTAGCAATGCGCGCTCTTGCTCTTGCTGTTGCTGTCTGCTCGTTTTCATTGCTGCGGCACGCGGCACAGGTTGCTGAGGTTACCCCAGAGAGGGGGAGGGTGTGAGAAGCGGACTCTGCAGCTGTCTGGCTGCCTTGATTGTTTGTATTTCTCATGGCACTCGATGTCAGTCAAAATCGCTTCGTTCTGTTCGTCCCCCTCCACTGCTCTGTGGGCTATCTACCCCCCGGACCCACCATCCACCCATCCATCCACCCATCCATCCACCCATTTAAGCAACCAATGAACCCACCCACTTTGTACTGCTGTTTGTTTTACAACGTTTTTAACTTGTTTGCAAGGATTAGGTAAGCAACTCAAACAGAAAAGGACGAGCCAGAGGAACAGGACCCATCAGCAGTACCAGTACCACGGCCAGGACCCATCGCCATCCTGTATGCAATGGCAACTCATAAAAATAGATAAAGACAAGGCCTCCAATCTGAACCTGAACCTGTTATCGCTGCCAGGGGTCTGGGTCTGGGTCTGGTTCTGGTTCTGGCCTGGTGGGTGCGAGTCGATTGCCCTGGCTGGTTGCTAGCCCGCGCCCCGCCCCCCTGCAACAGCCGCTCAACAATTCCTGCCAACATTAAATGCATCGAATTACATTTTCTATTAACCAGAGCGGGAGCTACTTTGCCACGGAGGCGGTGGGGGGAGGAAAGGATGGGTAACCAGGGACAGCCCGCTGAGAGGGGGGCCGCTACGCAACGGGATCGTGTGGCTACTTTGTGTGTGCCCCCCTTGTGCGGGTGTGTTGCAGGGGCTATTGAATTCTGGGGCATGCAGCCCTTAGCAAATGTTGCTCGTTTGTTTGCTGCTTGTTTTACAATTCACTTTTTTAACGCTTTCGCGCTGTGATTCCAACGTCCTGCCAGCGGGCTTCAGCTTCAGCTTCAGCTTCAGTTCCTGCCACGGACACGGCTACGGATACGGCTATGGCTACAGCTACGGCTCCGGGTCTGACATTGTTGTGCGGCGCCTTGAACCTTTTACAGTCAGCCTTGGTCCTTGCCCCTGCCCGCGTCTGTCCCTGCCTCCGTATCCCGTCTTGATTGCATAAGTTTTTTGTGTTGCGCTTTGGCTAAGAAGCCGCTGGCTGCACGCCGTTTAGTCCCCAAAACCCCTGCCACCTCACCCACCCACCGCCCTGCCCTTTCTTCAACCACCGCGTTGGTCTGGCTTAAAGTTATGAAAAGTTTTGTCGTTGTTTTGCCTTCTGGCTCGGCTTTTCTTTGGTTCTCTTTTCCTCCTTTTTGCTGGCGTCGTGTTGGGGGGTTTTTCCACGTATTTGGTTCCTCTTTAAGCGCACATTAATCAAAGTTTTTCGTTGGCTTAGTCAAAGTTTGAGGGCATTTATAACGCAATTGTGGAGCTCGTTTCGTTGTACACGGCAGGTGTGTTTGTAGCAAGGTCCTGCTTCAGCTCCAGCTCCAGCTCCTGCTGTTCCTGCTGCCGCTCCTGCCGGGCAGTGGCCCCGATCTTTTGACGACTGTATTGGACATTGAAGCCATATGGCATTGAGGCCACAAATTGTCTTGGCCCCTACCTCTGCACCGAGCAGCAGCACAACAGGCTGTCAAACAAAAACCAACGAAAATTCCCTAACAAAACTTTCCCATTCTTGTGGTCAAAAGTGGTCGTCGGTCCGTCCAGCTCTCCGTCTTCGGACGGAATGTACAGGTCAAGTCAAGCTGCATAAACAGGAAAAGTAAGCTGAATGACTTGCCACTCGGCTGTCTGAAGGTTAACGCACACAATCATGCACCCAGACGACACACAGATACTCACTAAGACAAAGCCTAATTGTCAGTGTCTGGCCGTCCTGCCCTGCCCCACAGCCGCAACCCATTCCCTTCCCCCTTCTGGGTGTGTGCCGCCGTAGGGCCTGTCTGAGTGACTAATGTCTGGCTTTAGAGAACTTTTTTGCAGCATACAATGTTGCATTGCAAATTGAAACACGCGACTGCCGGCGATGCTATGGCTATGCGGGAATATATAGAAAAAATCAGCAGAAACATTCCAAAAGACATTTCGACAGCGAGATACCAGACATTTTTCTTATATATATGTATATATATGTCTGATAAATATTTGTGAAAGAACGGAGTTCCACTGAAAGGCAACAGAGCACAGCATACCCTTACAGTCTACAGGGTATAAGTAGGATTTCCCAGACATGCTCACACACACAAACACACATACTCGTAGATGCAGTTACTAATACAAGCGTATGCATAAATAATAATGCACGAGAATGGCTTTAAGTGCAAGCGTCTGCTAGGCCCAAAGCCCTGTTCCACTCCGCTTTGCTCTCCTCTTTATATTTTTTCCTATTTTTTTCTCTCTTCACCCTCCCCTCCCTCAGACTCCTCACTTCACTCGTCTAGCCGTCTGCCTCTCGGCTTGGCTTATCCCGGTGGAGCGACGGGGGCAGCGAGTGCTTTGTATGCACTTCAGCTTTGAATGTGTCTGCATTTACCCTTGAAAATGTAGCCATTGTTTTGCTGCAGACTCCGTTGCACGTTGCACGTTGCACGTTGCACGGTGCACGCTGCACGCTGCATTTTGCAAATGAGTTCAATACACTTGGCATAAACATAAACATTACTGGGAAATCCACTCTTTCCGTGGGATATTTCCCTCTGTCCAATGCGCAAACTCCGACTAATAGTGCTCTCCCGCTCACAGGTGTCTGAAGCAACAGCCGAAAGGAAGCGGAAACGAAGCCCGAAGCCAGTTCGTGGACGAACCGAATGCCATCGCCATCGCCGCCGCCGTCGTCGTCGTCGTCGTCCTCCGTGTGGGTGTTTATTTAACACAGTTCCTCGTGCGCCGCGCGTTCAGTTCGTGTCCGAAGTCCGTGCCGTACGCGCTCGCCTCCGACGACCGCCCCAACGCAATCCGGCGAAAGCAGAGATACAGTGACAGAGACGTAAACGTAACCGTAGATAGTCAGGTGTCGCGTGTGAAATGTGAAGATCGGTGCACCCGTAATCAAATGTCGCTCAACGTTAACCGTGCTCAAGCTCCGCACTCACACGTCTCCCAAATAGTGGACCAATAGTGCACTCCGTACAGTAATCCGCAACAAGCTCGAGTAACCCCCCCTCCAACAGAGAACTATATAGTGCATCCAGAAGCAAGGAAGACAATATGTGCTCCATGGGGAACCTGCGCCCCCAAGGCGCAGACACTGGCCGCAATCGCCGCCGCCTGCACAGCAGCACCCAAAGCCCCCTCAATCGCCTTAGCCGCCTCAGTGCTCTGCTCCTCGTCCTGGGCGCGCAAATAATTTATGTGGAATATGCTCGGGCGGATTATGAGAACACTTGGAATTTATATTACGAGCCGCCCTGTTGTTCGGGAACAGCTGCCGGCCATCATCTGCGCCACCACAAAGGTAAGTCGAAAGGGAAGCGTAGCATTGGCTCCTCCGCAGAACCGGAGGAGTCCTCTGCATATTTCATGTCGCAATTTAAGTTGAGGTAAGTGAGTGAGGGACTTGGCTAATTTGCGGCAAGATTAGGTCTGGCATAATCAGTCCCCAAAATTTAGTTTTCCACCTAATGGAAGGCACATCTCATTATCCCAGAATTGAATTCTAGGCCAACCTATTTGATACTTCTTCGAACATCTTTCGTGACGAGAGTCGTCATGGAGTCCTGTTAAAGAAATACAAATATGCAGCAGAATTTAAGAACTCTTCAATCTTTCCCAGTGGAGCCTCCGTTTGGGTCTGTGTGGAGCTTTCAGTGTTGTACAAATAAAATGGCTTAAACGTTTCTCTTTCTGCACTTTGTTCAGACATTCACATTCTTGGCCAGCTAAGCCCCAGCATACAAAACTATTCACAACAATAGGCTTGGGCTTCGGGTTGGGCTTGGGGCTGGTTTCGGGGCGGGTGGCGTTCCATTCGAATCGAACTTTGGGAAATAAGTCAACAGCTTACATAGCCGCGAATGCCAAGAACTTTCTTCTATGTGTAAGTGTGTGTGCTTCCCTTTTCCCGTTTTTCTCCTTTTGTGGCCCAAAAAGGAATAATTTTCACTTTAAGCGGATTTGCTGTTGCCGCCCACGTCTGATGGCCTGATGGTGTGATGGTGTGATGGTGTGCTGCTGATTCGGGCTCTGATTCTACTGCTGCTTTTCCTTGATTTGCCATTTCGGTCCACTTCCGTCGGCGACGTCTGTTATCCTTTTCATCGTGTCTCGGGGTCCAGGCCATTTGGCAACCGGGACTCGTACTGTTCGCCCACTGCCACTGCCACTGCCACAGCCTTTGTTTTGCCATTGTTTTATTTCATCGGCAAGACATTTCTCTTCCGTGTGTGTCCTGGAGAAGGGCAGGGAAGGGTGCAGCACAACTTATAGACTCATTCGCGCGCAGCAGCCTGTGCTTCCTTCCACTTTACTTTTCCGGGAGTGCTCTACGTTCCGTTTCTCTACGCTTCTGTTCTGTTCAGTTCAGTTCAGCTCTTTTCTCTTCTTTTCTGTTCGGTTCTGTTCGGTTCGGAGTGAAATTAAAAACTTTTGCCTTTCAGTGCAGTCGTTGTTTTGTTGTTTGTTCAATTGCAGGACCTCTCCACCCTACTCCCTTCCATTCCCCCCCACAGAACCCCATCTTGACCGTCACTTCCGCCACTTAAGATGTGCTTTATTTTCTCTTTCTGCTTTTTTTCAACTATTAGTGTTTAATTAGTTTTCAAGTGGAGTTTTTATGGACCCAAAGCCGGGCTTAGCCCCGTCTGAGATTTGCTGTCCACACTACTGTTGACTATCAGCTTTTCCGCTTTTCCGCTTTTCCTTATTCCCTCTGTAGCTATATATGTATAGCTACATATATATAATTAAAACCCATTTCGCATATCGGATAAACGTGTATAATCTACCGCACACAGAGTAATCCGATTTGCTCTCCAAGGATCGTTGCTGCCAAATGAAGTTATAATGCAAAAGTTTTTAATATTCACGAGGTATTATGACAGACCAGGCCCTCGCCCACGCCTCGCGCCCCCGCCCACGCCCCGCCATTATGTGTGAAAATTATCCTTTGTTAAGCATTTTTATTTACATAAACAATTTTGGTTGCGTTAAAGATTTCCCTTTTTACAATTACTGAAATCTTTCCGTGGAAAGGGGGATTTTTCCGGCCACAGAAATGCAAACAGAAACGGAACAGGAAAACTTTGGGGGGGGGGGGGGGGGGGGGAACGCGTGGGATGGAAAAAGAAAGCGGCAAAGATATTTTCAACTTCATAAAAGGTTGCGAGACGGGAAATAAGCAACAAAAAATCGCCCCCAAAGTAGGGAAACCCAGAGAGAGGGAAAGAAAGAAAGCATATCAGATGTTTGCGTTGTTAATTAAAGAAAAACAAGCAAAAGTTTAATGGCGAATATTAGCGGAGGGCTGTCTGCAGTGGACGACCCACACCTTGGCCGTAGCTTTAACGTGGCCAAAAGCTGCGGCCATTGCGTAAATAGAAGCAGCTACAAAATACAAAAAAAAAACCACCTCGGAAAAGGGGTGCAAAAATACACAAAAAACTTGGCTACACTTTGGCTCCCTCCTTATTTCCCCAAAGCACGCAAAGCCCCCTCACCAGCCCAAAAAAAAAAGCGGTGGAAAAAGGAAAACAAGGCAAGGAAAATGAAAACTGTTCATTGCTCTCGTAAACTTAAAGAATTTCGGGCATTTAGCGCTGCTGGCAGCCAGCAAAAGCTGTTGTTTTTCCCCAGTTTCTTTTTGGGCTACAAAACGGGAAAACTTTCGGCCAGGTTCGGGGGTTTCTGGCCAGGTATGCCGGCTAAATTAGCCCTGGCCCTGCTCCGCAATTAAGCAGCAATTTTCAGCTGTAAGCGGCTAAAAGGAAAGGGCAGGCCGACGGGAGCTCTTCATACGTAAGTCCATCAGTACATTTACAAACAGGTCCCAAAAGGCCCCTGTGGATGCTCAGAGGCTCACACAATCGATATGTGGCTGGTGGTGCGTATACGCAATATAAGGATATGCCAGAAAGTTAAGAAAAATCAATATCTCCCACATATTTACCTGCTGCTAAGAATAGCAGTACTACCTCGCCTGTTCCTCTGGGATATTTGGGATTTTGCTAAAGGGCATCTTCATCTGCTGTAACCAAATCCGAATCCAAGTAGAAATTGGGCTTGCGACGTAATTTACAATCGGATTGACCTGATTTCCTGGCCGCTGGTGCAAGTGGCTTTTGGCTTTGGCCAACAGATTCATTAGCCAACTCCAAGTGCCATAATTCAAGTTATTTCGGAAGTACAAATGCTTGTGTCGCTTATACGACCGAGAGGCAGAGGGAGAGCGTGTGTGTAATATATCTTAATGCAGAGACAAAGGCAGATGTGTGGCACACATGTTGTTGGTGCACCGCAGCCTCTAAAATACACACACCCAGAGATACCGAGATACAGAGATACAGAAACACACGAGCTGCTGGCGGGGAGTCTGAGAGGGTTTGTGTGTATGGCTAGGAGACCTTTAAGCAAAGCGCTTCCTCATCAAGGACACAAGAGGAAGACGCACGGAGGAGCCCTAGCCTCTTCGGGGGTAGAGTCCTCGTGCCATCACATTTGTGGGGCTCAAGTTAATGACGACAAATTAATTAAACCAGAAATGTCTGCACCACTAAATTTGATTATAAAACTTTACGTTTTTCATTCCAATTTTCATCTCCAGCTCCGTCTGGATGTGTGTGTGTGCGGTTTGTGCCATAAATTTGCCGACATAATGATGCTAAATATACATTTTCTTATACAAGCGAAAAACATTAACCCCACCAATGAAATAACAGACATTAAAACTTTGGTCTTTTAAGTTTTCTTGGGATGAAAATAAGAATGGAATTGGGAATGAAAACTTGTTTATAGTTTTGGCTTAACAACTTACTGCGAAAGCCTATTAAAATTAATTTCATTTTATGTTAATGTCGAGTTTATTCAATTTATTTAAAACACATGTCGCTTGATTTAATTAACTTTACACGACCGCTGCGGCCGCTGTTGCTGTTGCAGGATGCTGCTGTTGCGGCATGCATGTTGCCGCTGACGCTGACACATGGTTGCCGTCGGCTTGGGGCAGCTCCAACAGACCCACGGCGCATCAACACCAGAAACTGACAACACACACACGCGCACACGGTGGTTATTGTTGTCAAGCGTCGGCTTTTAATTAAACACTTTACACGATTATGCCATTGTTTAAAGTTTTAATGGAAAATAAATACCAAAATGGTGGAAAAGTCTCAGAGGAGGTGAGAAGTAATATTGGTGAGAAAATCGGCAGGCGAGAAAACCACAACCGGAAGAGAAGAAGTCAGAATGACAATCACAGCTAAATTCAGAAATAAAACCCAACAGTCAGAGCAAATATTTGTCACAGTTTCCAGAGCCACAGACATAGATTACTCTTTAATTATCTACGGCCATCAAAGACATTTCTGTGCAGAGCAAGGACCTGAAGGGCTAACTAAAATTCCAGCAAACCATCGAAATGAATCTAGAAATCATTAAGAGCCGACGTAAATTGCAAAACTTCGAGGTTCGGTATTTGCACTTACAGATATGCCGGATACGAGCGCCTCTCCATGAAGTATGCCTTAGTGAATGAATAATCGAATGTCTGCACACAGACACCTTTCAGTGCACTTATTTACACTCGATTTCAATTATCTGTTCATATTTAGACACACCAACCACAAAAACAATGGTCGAGAAACAGAAATATGTTCGGGAGGAGGCCCGGAAGGGGTGGGTGTCGGACACAAATATTCCAAGTGAAATATATTAAAGTTATGGCCGAAACCCCTGACTCTGCCCCTGGACACGCATGAAGGGGTGGTTTGCCCAAGGGTAGATGTGCCAAGCCTCCCGGAAGGCCACATTCATACGAGACCGATTTTTAGAGTGGACACCAAACTATTTTGACCGTTGGCATAAGGCACAAAAAGTTGGCCGAAAATCGGGGGTACTATGGGGGTGCTTCCGTGGAGGGTTGGTGGTGGGGTTCCACAGCATATTGCAAAAGTTAAATTGGTTTATTGTCCATTTTTATGGCACAGAAAAACTTTGTGGCATGCGAAATAATTGCATTAAGTGCAGTCCGGGTCACGTCATCCTCCCCCGCCCCATGGAGCGTACTCTTTCTGCATTGGAATGGTCTGATTGGGCTGGATGTTGACCAATTTAAGGGCAGGGGCTCTTTTGCATGATTTCTTGGCAGCGGTGGGACCCGCGGGGTGGTGCAATATTAACACATCATTTAATCGACGCACAATGAAGAGCGATAACAAAGCAATCAGAATGGGGGAAAAAAGAGTGGAAAACCCATTTCTAATTAATGCTCGGACGACGCAGGGGGCTGTCTGTGTGCCCCAC